AGAATTATGTTGTCAAGAATTGAGGTTTCAGAAAAACATGGTGGAATGGGCAAAAAACCATAAACCATAACCAATGTCTAAAGTTGAACATACAAAGCCAAGGGGATAACGATTCTTATAATGCTATTGACTTTCACGTGGTGGGTCACTCTATCACATTCCATATAAAATTATAAAGTAAGGTTTCCTTGTTAAGTAAGTGGTTCAATTATGGACAATCAAACCTCTCTAATAATTATATTTTCGTGAAATCATTAGGTTATATTATATGTTTTATTATTTTTCTATAGCAGTTAAAAATTATCGAAATAAATGACGCTGTTATAAAAAAGTTTGATTGTTCTTATTTAAAATTTTGTACTAAAATAAAGTAGTAAGGAAAGGAAAGGAAAGGACTACCGAGTCTAAGAAAGAGAAATATTTTTAGGAAAATTAGCACTTTTAGTTACTTAGATATCCATAAATTCTATTTTCCGTCCTTATATTTTTTAATTAAGCACATATCAATTTTAATTAATTGAAATTTGATTTGTACATTTTTAATCTCTCGGATCATAAATCTTCACAAAATTAACAAATTATTAAATGCTAAATTATTCAATTATCGATGTGTTATGTTAATTTTTATTGTTACGAAAAAACATATTTTAGTTAATTGAGATTAGAAGTGCTTAGGAAATATTAAATGGACCAAAATCAGAATTTATCTATAACTGAAGAATAAAAGTGCAATTATTCCTTAAATCTAAATTTCCCGAATTAGAGCTACTTCTTTTTTTTTTTTTAGGTAATTGGTGTAGTCCTTAGCATAAAATGTAATTTTTTTTATAAAAAAAATAAAATTCTAGGCAATTAACACTTTGTTTGGATGATTGTTACGTGTTATTTCATAATGTATCGTATTGTATTGTTTTAATGAATACAGTGTTTGAATAAGTTATATCGTTCTTACATAATGTCACACATCCATGTTTTGAATAAACCTACAAGCAAAGTAGGGTACGGGGTAGAGATACTATGAAAAAGTAGGGTAAAAGATGAAATAGAATTATTAAATAATAAATAAAGATAAAATGAGAAGAAAATATTAAGGTAACGATGCGATCACACCAAACTGGTCTTCATGGGTCTTTTCAACGTTACCTAACGATGAATTTAAACGATACGATATAATAAAACTTAAGTACTAATCAGTATTTAAACTAACAATACAATACAATGAATAACAATCATCCAAAGAAGAAGTAAACCGTACACACAGAAAACCTTTTTTTTGTTGGAATATTTAAATTAATTGTTATAGGCTATTAATCGAAGCAACATAAAATGGTCATGTCAATACGAAGGGGCCAAGAAAAAGTTTGAATTATTATATTCTTAGAGCCCCATCAAAACTTTGTAGTTTAGAGGAAAAATGCATAAGTACCCTCAAATCTATGCTCGAAATTTCATAGACACACTTATACTATACTAAGGTCATATTATTCCTTTGAATTTGTTTTATAAATAATTTTCTACTCCTTTTTGGCCTACGTGGCACTATCAACCAGATAGCTTGAAAAAATTGTCAACACGCGTTGGGCCCACAAGATAGTACCACGTAGGCCGAAAAGGGGTAGAAAATTATTTATAAAATAAGTTCGGGGATAATAGAACCTTAGTATAGTATAAGTGTGTCTCTGAGATTTCGGGCATAAATTGAGGATACTTATGCATTATCCCTAGTTTAGATCTTATTTAATATAAAAATAATACTAGTAATGATTGCCAATAAATCACAGATGGAATAAAAGACAATATAATGACTAGTAAACTAAGCTTTTTATTTTGTGAAAAAAATGAAAAAATTAAAATAGACCATATAAGATGGAAAAAAAAGATTATAGTATAGTCTCACGTTGCCTTCAGCCTTACAAGGGATTTCAGAAAAAGTATGGTCTCAACATACTTTAATTTGTGGATTAATTATTAGGGTAATTATATCTTCGTACGCTTGAAATAATTATAGAAGTATTATTATTAGTTCCTTATATCTCAATTCATACATTATTTGCACTTTAAGATGTACTAAAATACACATTAATTAATCAGTAGTATTATTACCATTTCCATATGATTCAAGAATTTAAAATCATTTACTATTCAATATTCATGCTGTGTATCTTACCTGATTATCAAAAGAAGGATATTTTAAGAGAAAAAATATGTCATGTTAATTAATTCATTTATTTTAGGTCCTATATGATTTTTATGAGTCTTTTGATATTATTAGATGATTATTATATTATTATATATGCCAACAGGATATACAGTAAACTTCATAGCATTTTTTATTTTTATTTTGTATAATATTGTCCTGTAATTAATTCAAATAAAACATGATTAGTGTAGAACTCCTTTTTCATTTTTGTTGCTTGATTCTCTTTAAAAAGAATGAGATCTTATTGCTTCAAATTGAATATTTATTTATTCATTCTTTATCATTTATATTTCAACCAAAATATATTATAATTTATGGTATATATTCCAACATTTTACTTTTTTTTTAAAAACAATAATATATTTCCTTACTAATTTGACAACTCTTTAATACATTATGCATTTTTTTTCTAAATTTAAAATCATAAAGAATTAAAATCCTTTGTTATTTTCTCTCTCTCTAAATTTTCATATTCAATTAAGCTAAGACAGGTAAATTGAAGAAGTATATAATTTTGGTGACAAAATGATATTATTTGTAGTACGTACATTAAGCAGGTTCATCAAAGGCCCCTATCAAATAATCATAATTCCTAACCCTTCGAACTTTCGAGGGTACATGCACTTAGCTGACTGACGTGGAGGCTTTTAACCTCATTATTTATGTGGTATAAAATTTCTAATTTTCTCTAACTCATATATTTTCTCATGTTAATTAGTAGAAATTCGTTATCTTATTAGGATAAGTAATGCCTTAGCCTCCTCTCTTGTACTCTTCTTTTTGAGATTTTTTTTTATTGTATTAATTAAAAGAAACTAGCCCTGCCCATTCGCTATATATATATATACTTTTAAAATCCGAAAGACTGAAAATAAAAACTAAAAATATAATAATGAAATAATCAATTAAGATATCTCTAGGCTCCAAATATTCTCACTTTGTTCTTCTTCTTTTCAATCTTCCCTATTCGTATTTCATTGAATAGTGTTTACATTCAAGTTGCTGTAAATTCTTTGCTAAAACAAATGGTAGTGAAATGTTGGTAATTAAAGGTACAACTTATTCGAGACTTATTATTTCATTAAAATTATGATTAAAAAAATTGATTTGTTCATTTTTATTTGTCTATTTTGAACTTTGCAGCCTTGATCTTCATAAATACTTATTGATATAGTCATTTTACCAAAAAATTATATTAATCGATGTTTGGTTAATGTTGGAAAATGAATATGGGAAATACGTAATTAACATTAAAAATAAAACATGTTTTTTTCTTAATAAGCTAAAAGTGACAAGTAAATATAAGAACGTATTATGGAAAAATAAAATGAATTGATAGACTAATATTGTCTAAATTATAAGCTTTCAAAGTAAAGAGTTTAAAATAGACAAGCAATTAAAAGTGACCAATTTTTTTTTCTTAAATAGGTACATCACTTTCGAGTGGGGCAAATTTATATTTGTCGACCATTTAAGCAGCCATTAATGATAGATATGTTGAGAATATAATTAAATAATAATAATAATATTCTCTTTGATAACTTAAACTTTTAGATAAATAGCAAATTATTAATTTAAGTTAAATGTTATAGCCATAGTTTTTTTTATTTGTAATTTGCAGTAAACATTCCATGTATTTTGCCATTCCATTTGTATAAATACCGAAATATATAAATAGACTCATTTGGTATACATATGTGTTGAATAAAATTAATTGCAGGACCCATTTGTAAACCAAAATATACAAATAGTATCATTCGGCATATATATCTGTTGTATAAAAATTAATTGTAGGACCCATTTGTATACCGAAATATACAAATAGACCCATTCGGTATACATATGTGTTGTATAAAAATTAATTGTAGAACCCATTTGTATACCGAAATATACAAATAGACCCAAATACAGATTTTTATGTATATATATACCGAAATATACAGATTAATAGCCATAGCAAACATAAAGTTTGTTATGGAACGCAATTATACAAACTATAAGTATAACATACAAATACGATTTTTATGTTTGGTAAACCTAAATTTACTCTAAATTATAACACATTTCAATATGGTATCAGACCTGACAAATTAAATATCACCGTCATTTCACAAAATGTCCATACACTTAACAAATTTATGTTTGTCGACCATTTAGACGCCATTAATGGCAGATACAAGGCATGCAGAAAACGATATGAATTCTCTTTCGAATATATTATAAAACTATTACTTCTAGTAGTACTAAACTGTTTCAATCCCATGAACGATAAATCCAAATTTAATTACTAGTACTTTCTTCATAGGAATATAGTTATTATCATTATAACATATTTTAGTATGCTTGTTATAATAATTAGCTAGATCAAAAGGGTAAATGCAATAGGGGAAGTACGTAAGTGATGACATACAATATATTAATTCTGAATTATTATTATTATTCCCACAAAAACTTTATACAAATCACAAAAGAAAGACAATTTCCTAGTTGAAATTGTGCAGAAAAAAAAAGGACAAAATAAAATAAAATAAAATAATATGAGTCATGATGAAGATATATCGTATCTTCAAAAATCCCAAAGAATATTTTTCTCATGGCTGACACAGTCCCTTCCTTACAAGCTTTTTCCACTTCCTTCAAGAAGACAAAAAAATCACAATCCCATTCTTGAAGAAAAGAGAAGGAGCTATACAAAGTGACAATTAATGTATTCACGGTCGTTTGGTTGGGAACAAGTTATCCCAGGATAGGTTATCCTGGGATAAACTATTTTGGGATAACTTATCCCATCATATATACCAGATAGCTTATTCCATCACTATGATATAAATGGTGGGATAAATTGTCCCAAATATGGTAACCAAACAAGATACAAAAACTTTATCCCATCACTATTTTCGTATCTCATCACTAATTATTTCTATCCCTCACACCAAACGACCCCTCAGTCACATGTGAACTTCTTTAGACCTCTCATCCCATATTACTTGCTTCTCATTTTCTCTATTTACCTGAAATTTAACAAATTAACCAAAAAAAACAATATTATAATCTGAGTGACAATCAAAAAATTTACAACATGCATAGATGGATCTAGAGAAACCGATAAGAAATATGAACCTTGACCCTAATTCAATTCAAAAGTTAACTTATTCAAAAAAGATGAAATTCTAATGTGGGACAATCTCAACATATCTCACACGTCCAAACCTGACAACTGTAGCATGGACAACATAATATGAGGGTCCATTATTGAATAAACCAAAAACTCAAAATGAGTCTTAATTCTAACCATGATAGTAAATGGATCTTCGGTGTAAATTAAAAAAAATAGTTCTGAGGTGAGTATATATCGTCTAAGATCATAAAAGAAACAAAAAAAACTAATCTCACGATCCATGTGGAATAAACTCAACAATAAGTTCTGAGTTTAGCTACAGTTTTTTAACTCGAACTACGTATATACACACGTATGTGAAATATTCAACTTATTTCAAACTCTGCAACTCTAGATCCTGAATTTGTCCGTTTGAAAAAAAGTAGAAGAGAGAGAAAGTGAAAAGAAGTAGTAACATACTATTAATGGTTTCTTTTGCAATGTAGAACAGCTTCATAAATAGAGCTTTCAGAATCACAAGATCTGCGCCAATTATCAACAGAATAAGCTACACTTGTCCTTGGAGATGTTGCTGCTGAACAATATTCCCACTTCTTCATCACTTCCTTTCCACTACTTGATCTGCACCTACCAATTCTACTACACCTTCTTATTTTCTGGCAAAATGGCCTAAGAAAATCAAAATACTTCAATAAAATCCTCCTCGACAAACTCCGGCATCTCCTCAATGATACACACCGATTCACCCTCCTACAAGAGGACGAACACGATTCATCCTGCTGCTGCGCAGCAGAAGATGCCGGAGAATTCGCGATGGAGTGGGATTCAATTACATCGTAATCCGACTCCATCTTCATCGGCTTCTTGATGAACAGAGGCACCAAGAAGCCGTTTGAAATGAGTTCATCAGCATGAACAAGAGTTAAAGAAGAATCCGATGTAGGAAAATCAAAGTTCAAATCCTGTGGATTCACATTAAAAAACCTCTTTGAAGGAGGTAGTGCAGGATCCATCTCAATAAAAGCAGTTTCATAATCATCTCCAGAATCATCCATAGAAGCTCTGAAAGAATCCCCCAAATCTACTAACCAACTATACGAAAAACTCTCAATCGAGAGAGACTGCGAAGTTTCCATATCTCCTCGATAATCAAATTTACTACGGAAGCTAAAAAAATCACAAAGAAATTAAAGAGAAAAGATTTTATGAATGAAGAACTCTAGCTTCATTCATATAAGGAATAAATACTATATATGTATATATATATAATAAAATAAATAAACCAGTATTGATTGAAGGATGTACTATCCTTTTTCTAACAATAACATATGGGGTGGTCTACTACAGACAAATTCAATTAATAACTGAAAACGAAATGAAGAAAGAGTGAAAAAAAATTGAAAGACAAACCCCATATATATACACTCACGGATGTTGTTGCTACATTACCTTAATTTTAGTACTATTATAAAATTTTAATTTATGCATACAATTTGATGACTAAACGTTTTATTCTTGAAGAATTAATTCTAATGTCATCTAGATCATCCATAAAGCAAAGCAAAAAATTATTTTCTATTATTACTTTGTACTATATAGTACTAGTTTATACTTTATGTCACATTTGGATTTTTGATATATTAATCTGCTAAAATAATATTCTCATTATACTATCAATCACAACCATGCATTACATTGTCTACAGAACCAAGTACAAACAGCTTTTCAGCATCAAATTGAGAACTTTGTTGAACTTGAGGGAAGTTCTCATATACAGAAAGGTGGATCCAAAATTTGAAATTTATGAATTTCTATGACAGCCTCGAATTGATACATAATAAAAACTGAATTCAAAATCAAATATTTAGTAGATGTTTTAATATATATATATATATATATATACAAGGTCTAGACAAAAGGTACTGATTCTCGTAAAGCTACATGTTTTTCATTTAGTGGATCCGCCTCTGCTCATATAGAACTTAAAACTTACTGAATATTTCCTCTGTTTCCAATTCTGTTGTCAAAATCATTAGTGCTTGTTGTGGTAAACACTAATATTCTTTTCTTTTTTTTTTTGGAAGTCATAGGCTCATAGCTAGAGTCTAGGTAAGTAACATGTTATGGTTAAGTTATAAAAGAATATGATATTTTAAGAAACAAAGATCTTTGGTTATTATTGATTTGTTACTTGCTAATATTCCCTTTTCCTTTTCATGACAGCAAATACAACAATCATTTCAATAGAAATATGAAAGCATATCTTGATTTTACATACTATAAGTCATATTAAGAATTTTTGTATCATTCGTTGGTGGGATGTATGTGCAAAATCCAAACAAAAGAAATATCAGACTAATTCTCTTGGTAAAGAAATCTCAGACTTTAACATCCACCAATAACCTGAGTGGTAGCAATATTTCAAGAAAAATTGAAAAAGCTGTAATAATAATTTATTTACAAAGAGCAGAGAGAAACAAAAATACCAGACCAGAGGTCCCCATTAGTGTTGGAGAAAGAGATAGACATTGAGGAAGCCATCAGGGAGCAAAACAAGTAATTTGAAAGTGACCTAAAACCAAATGGTCCCCTCACATGTCTCCTATAGAGTTAAAGCAAATAGAAAAGTATACAAATATTCTCAAACAATTAAGTTATAATAGAATTGTCTTTTAATGTGGACCATTGCAAAACACTTTATCACCACAAATAATAACCTCAAAAAAGAATTAAAGATTTAAGTACAATTGAGACTCTCATCAAAATCAAATACTTTTGTCATTTGATTTCCAATGAGCAGAGGACAATTGAAAAGTCTGAAAACAGTCATCTATAAACAGAATACAATGTATGTGGCCATTGGCCAAGTCTTTGAATCTAGTCGTTCGAATTGGATATGAAAATTTAGGTTTGAAATTACAATTCAAATAAGCTCGTATTGGATTGGATTTTTTAAGTTCGGTTTTGGATTAACTTGTTTAGATATTTTGAATTTTTAATTTTGACTTTTGAGCCTTTAAGACAGTCAAAAACAATTAACAACCTCAATTCACTTATTAATGATATGCACTTTAGAATGTATAACTTTATCATGGGTAACATGAGAAAGACGAAAAGCGTATATTATACTCCCTCTGTCCAGTATTGCCTTTGCACAGTTCTTAAGAAACTATAAATTGAAGGGTAATTTTACTATATCATCTTTTGAATATAATAAATTCAATATCTTGAAAAATGTTATAGGGACATAATGGTAAATTAGGAACTATGTGTAAATTTATCCATTTATTTCATTAAATGGACAAGTATTGTTGGACATCCAAAATAGTATAGTGGACAACTATTGTTGGATGGAGGGAGTATTTGATTTAGTAGAAGTTTCATATAGGGCTTAATATTGCATTAGTGAGTAGGGTTGCAAGGCACTTTCTCTTTCTCTGTCCCTAATTACTTATTCACTTTTGAATTAACACACTTATTAAGAAAATAATTATTGACATAGTGAGTTTACTATTTTACCCTTATTGATTATGAAGTAGATAAATTAAAAATTTAAGATTTTCAGGAAGTTCTACCTTTTTCAAAATTAATTAATTGAGAGTATAATAGATAAAAAAAAATTGTTCTTTCTTGATTTGTCAAAATTGACAAGTAAAAAAGTAAAATTGGACAAGTAATTAGGGACAGATGAAGTACTAATCTGCACCCGATGGAAACTGAACTTATTAGTAATGGACACATATGATATACGTAGAATTGAATATAATGTACAATTTTTTTTTAGATTTTCGTATGATGTCCGAAAATCCATAGCACCAAATTCAATATTCAATCCAAACCAAACATCCAAAACGTTGGGAATTCGGGTTGGCATCAGACAACAAAAACTAGCCAGTTACCTATCACGTCATGTTTCTCTTGATGTAGTGAATCCCCTGTTCAATGACTACATTATACATAGGATTCCCATAAACATAACTTGGAGAAATATTTTGTCCAATAATGTTAATGAAGCATGAAATGTTGATAAGAAAGTTACAAAACCAAATATTCATAAAGATAGGGTAGTACTCAACTTGTATAAAGCAGCATAATCAAATAAGAGATTCAAACAAGAAAGATGTTTTTTCATCAAATGTAGAAGTACAAAGTATGTGTAACATCACATACAGTAATAAGTTCCTGCAGAAACAACACCTATTAGTGCCAAGGGAATGCAATCGAACTCGACAACACTGAGCACCATACATGCTTATACCTTACAAATGGAGGCAACAAACTGAAACAATCACAACATAAAGGGAAATTATTACCACCAATTTCGGTTTTAAGGGACTATGTATGTGTGAGAGCAAGTTGACCATGTGAAACAATAGTCAACAAAGCCTACGTCAAAATAACACTTCATGAACCTATATATAATCAGATAGATTGATTGAGGAACAGCAAAACCTTCTGCAACGTGAGTCGATAACTCATCCTTGATGCATCAGTTCTAAGAATGGAATAATTTAAGACCCTGTGGACCGTAAGGATACTATTTGCAGAATCACTTTAGTTGCAGCACGGAGATTCTGAATTTCAATCATTAAACTTTTAATGTTCCATTAACATTTCCATATATAAAGCAACTAAACATGAAAGTGATTGTCCAACTACTTATGGGTTCCAACCATTTTTCCTGATTGAAAAGGGTGTGACATATTATTCAATAGCACATGGATAAATTTTAGATGTCGTCACAAAGAAACAATGATGTAGTTGAGCATTAGAAACACATTAGCCAATAATAACCATTATTGAATTCTCATTCTCATCTTTGCTCCATATCAACAGGTTCACTTACTTACTCTAATCTGAGATGAGCTAAAACAACACTTATTAATTGGAAAATAACCTTTATGCAGATTATCACTAAATCAGAATTTGTCCAATTCGCAAAGGCAGGGTATTTAGATGGCTAAAGCAAGAAATAATATGTTCCTAGATGCTTTAGTTCCTGCATACATTATCTTTTGCTTGGTCCAAGTTCTAACTTCTAAGACTAGACTAGCTTTGAATCCCATATATATTTGATGATAGGCGGAATTCGTTCCCTTGAGCATGTCCAGAGTCTTTTCCCTTGATCTTCATTATAAACTTACCGAGTATGCTACTAAGGTCTAAGGCCCTGTTAATTTTTTCATTCAATTAGCACTTGTTGTTTACATGTATAACCCATTGATGATTCTCAGTGAGATGATGAATCTGATCATAAAGCAAAGGCCTCACTCGCATGCCTTTATATATACCTCGGTAGTCCAACAAATGTTATAGGCCTAATCCTGCTAAGTTTTTTTTTGGTAGTATTTCAAGGATAACCCAAAAATGTACTAGTACTTCAATTATCACTCTGCAACATTTTCATTGCATAATTAACTTTTCTTCAGTTTCTTTACCATTCATACAACCCTCCAGGTGAAGAATTTGATAAAATTTCATCCTGATGAGGAGGTGCCTATCAAAGATCTCACTATAAGGAGTATACCAAAGTATAATACTATCAACTACTTGGATTTGATCTATGAAATTAGAGTATTCCATTTGTTCCAAATTATAGGTATTGATTTTGCTTAGACATGACATTTAAGAAAATAGTTTAGTTGATTTCTCAGATGGCCACTCAACTGATAGTGTTATTATCTCAGAAAATTACTTTTTTTGTTGAATAAAATTGGAATCAAGAATGAAATGTAACTTTTTAACACATTAACTATGACCATTTGAGAATTCAACTTGATAATAGTTGAAATAAAAGTGAAAGGGAAAGTTGACTTGTGTATCTTTTTTAATCTCCTGCAGAGTCCCAGATTCTTTACCATTATATGATCTTCTGAACAAGTTGAAGAAAAGATACAGACATATGGCTGTAGTGGTGAAGAGTAGTAGGAACACTAAGGAAGCGCCACATCTAAACATGATATAATTAAGTTTTAAGATAAATATCCTTCTGGCCAATTCAATTTAACAGTGCTATGCAGTTGAAAAGGGCAAAAGATAGTCTATGTACTCCTCGTTCGCTGTTTGCCTTCTCTTCTTCATCTTTTTTGGTAGTTTGGCATGGACTAGATCACCAAACTCACCAGAATTGTTTTCC